TCCCTCTCCCCACGCTGCTCACTGCACCCACGCTCCGGACGGCTCCAGCTCCAGCTCCACTCTGGCTCAGCACGGCTGCTGCTGCTGCTCTGCCTTCAGCTCCCTGGGCTGCTTCTCTGGCCCCTCTGGCTCTGGTTGCTGCAGCTCTGCTCCCAGGGCAGATCTGCTCCGTGGGCTGTGCTCTGGCTTTGGGCTGCAGCTCTGCTCCCAGCAGCTTAGCTCTGTCCCCTGCTCTCTCCTTAGCTCTGCCCCACTCTGTCTAACTCAGGCAATTCAAGTTCACACGGAGGACGGGATCCCCCTGGCCTCCTGACTCTCTAATTAGCTGCCCGCCCTGTCAATCAGGCTGATCTGGAGCATTGGCCTCTCCCCACTGTTCCTGGGGACTGTCAGTCTCAGGGTCCTGATTTGCCATCGACCCTTCCCCTTTTAGTGCTGGGAGCTAGCCAACCAAAACACCCCCACTGAATGTTAGTGGGGGGCAACAGTCCCCTTACACAGAGGAGCCTTGGCTTGGCTGTGTCTTGCTGAACATCTAACCACCAGCCTGGGACCAGCCGGGCTACCAGGGCTCCCTGGGTTAAGGTCAGAGGCAGCTGGTGGGTGCTAGTGACAAGGCATGAAAACAGCAGCTCTATGACATTGCAGTTAAAGGTTACAGCCCAGCCCGTTCACAATGCCAGATAAGAGCTGGAAAGAAGATTTTTAGGTTTAAACTTTGTAAAACTCCATAGACAGAAGAAGCGAACAATCCTACCCACCCCTCACCCCCAGCCCATTCCAACTGCCCTGGTCTCTTCCAGCCATTTTTTCTTTTTGGGCCAATACTGAGCCCATCATCGCTGTGTGGGCTGGTTCTGCTGGGGGGGAAATACGAGCCAGGGATCGTGGGTTTTGTCTGACTCTGGGCAGAGGCGTATCAGCTCGGAGAGCAGGGACAATGGGGACTGCTCAGCACACAAAGCTGGACATGCTCATGTCCAATGAGCAGCCATCTGCTCCTCTTTGCTGCTGGAGCTCCCAGCTAATGTTTCCCACCAACACATTTCCGCCACAGGGCTAGATTCTGACCCGGGTTGTACCATCGCTCCTTTGACCTCAGCAGTTAGCCTTTGTCTGGAGCCTTGCTAGGTTCTTCCATTGGCAAGAGAAATGGATAATAGGAGTCAGGTATTTCTTTGGTGCAGTCTTTATTATTTACAATGTCCACGCATTCCTGTGCCCTAAACAGGGTAGAAACTAACAGCAGCTGGCAGTTGTCTTACTCGGAAATAAACGTCTTCCTTTCCAGGGGACCCTGTGCCTGAAGCAAGTTCTGTCTCTCAGTTTCCTGCCGAGACCACACTCACGACTGCTTCTCTTGGTTTTCTAACTCACACACACCAAGCTGCCAGCCAATCCCTCAGCCCCTGTGTTTCCAGCTAGCTCCAGGGAAACCCCTCTTAGGCCAGCTTCCCCCCAAACCCACAATTAATTAAATCGGTGTCCCTCCACCCCACACCTGCCTGTCCCCAGCCCAGCCCCCACCTCTGCCCCTCAGGTCCCCTCTGCTCCTCCTGCAGCTGCACAGGCCCCCATCCCTGGTGCTGCAGGGAGGGAGGGAGGGAGGAGGAGCTTCCAGGACTCATAATGCTAAGAGGCCAGAAGGTTGGGAAGACAGGAGTCCTCCAGGCTGTAGGGGCTGGGATAACTGTGGGAAGAGAAGCACATTTTTCCATTCCCAGTGGGCTGATCCCCCCCCATTTCTCAGGGACACCGTCTCACTCAGGATCCCCAGAGTCCTCCCGGACCATAGAGAATAGTGGCAAACAGGCTACACAATCCCTGGGGCAGTGAAGAGATTGGCTTGTCTACTTAGGCGCCAACTTCTAGATTTTCTGGGGGGTGCTCGACCCCCCACTCCATCCTATGCCCCACCCCCACTCCACCCCTTCTCACCCCCTCTCCCAGGGTGCTCCATATTCAACTGGTGTCTCCCCATATTGGGGGGGGAACGGTATAAAGGTCAGGTCCCGTGTCCCCGCACCCAGCCTTGGGGACACCGTGGTCTCCCAGCCCCATGCTACCCAGGGCCGATGAGGGAAGGGAAGCCGGTACAAATTACCGGGGCCTGGCTTCCCCTGCTTGCCCCCCCCCTTCGTCGGCCCTGGTTAGACACTCTGCCCTTGCTGGGGGGCCTGAAAAAATTCCAGAAGGGAGTCCGGGGCCCGGCTTCCCTCCCCCTCTTAGCCGGTCCACCCTTGTTGGGGGGTGGGGGGAAAAAAATTTCATGGGGGCCCGAACCCGCTCTGGGCACTCTGATGCTACCTGCGGGGTGTGTGGGTGTGCGCTTTTTCCTCCCACTGCATCAGCCCCTCCTCATAGCATGTTCAGCTGCTGTCTCTGG